AGAGTGCAGAGGATACGACGTTCCATCATTTTGAGTTCGCCTCGTTGCTTTGTAGGAGCTAAGAGGAGTGTCTGTTGAAGCAAATAGGATGAACTGTATCGCTTAGCACAAAAAATTGCCGGTTCCACGCACAAAGTAGTGTGATATAGTAAGAAAGAGGGCAACATCTGGTCCAGTCTGGAAGGAATAACAGAAAGTGGTATCAAAAATTAAGATGCGACGACATGAGGCCTTGGCATGAAGTCTTTGGATCTTATGAGTATGAATACCAGTTTGGATCTAGCAAATTACAAAGCTCCCTTTGTATCCCGAAGAAGGTGCAAGCAGGCCAACCGCAGCGCTGTTTGCTTGGTTCTTCTTCTCTTTAATGGAACGGTTTGAGGCACTGATAAGGAAGAGAGGAAGTGTCTGCAAGTATCACCGGAGAGCCAAATTACAAAGGATATGGCAGTTTATCCATTCTCATAGGTTTTCAAAGATATTGCATACAATCCCAAAACTCTTTTGCTCATATTTTTCCCAATTTGGAGGCCTGTTGGCTACTCGCTTAAAGAAATGAGTTTAAGTTAAATTGGGCTGTTTACTTGACATTCCCGCGCAAATGCGCACTCAACCTGGAGCAGACTCGTGGCATATATGGAAGGTAGTTATCGGAGACGATTGTTAACTGAGCATAGGGGGGGCCAAAAGGGAAAGAAGAAACTACCATGCCTCGGATTCCCAAAACCCATGCGATTAGCCCTTTTTTCTTCTCCTCAAGAAATCTAGCTTGCCCTCCGAAGACCTACTGCCAAGGCCTGAAAATTAAAAGATGCAAAATCACACTTGAACACAGAGGTCGGACAAGTTGCTTCGATTGTCGAAACATGTGGAATATGCAGCTATGACTTCAAAGAGGAAAGCACAATCAGACATTGAAGAAGTGCTGATGAAAGACGATGACAAAGACTGAAATAGAAGTATAAGAATGCCTTTTTAATAAGTAGAATCTAAAGACGTTTAAATGTACTCTGCGCAAGCGATT